TAAAGATGGTACTTAATATTAGAAACTTTAGGCTTGAGTTATGACTCGTACGTACTCGAGGTCTGGCTCCTCAAATAACTGTATAGCTTTCACGCTTGCATCTTTGCAGCTTCACCTAACCCAATACTGATTATGATCATGAACCTACCCACATTGAGTTGCCCAACCAGACCTGCCTACGATACCCAAGTTACTGTCGATAGTGTCCGACAAATGGGTATTTTAACATTTTCTTGACATGTATATTAATAAAAAATATGTATGTAAATTGATTTATAACCGCGGAGTTTTGTAACAAGTTATTGCTGTGAAGATACCCACGGTTGAACCTTACTTACCGGTTGTAATTGCATTGCAAAAAATCCTTACCAATGGTCAAGGCAGAGGTCCCATTCGGTAGTGGATTAGGGTTGTGATACCTCTTTTGGCGAAAATCATACCTTCTATATGTATGAGATCATGGCTTATCACACAATCCATGGATTACCTAGAGTAGGTAAATATTTACTTGCACCCAACCCATCCCACTCACAACTTCGGTCTCACCCAACGTAACCAAAGCTAATTCACATCACGTTACGGTATCTTGAAGTGATACTATTTTGAATGACTGATGATTATATTACCATTCATGATGATCCTCCGAGAGGAGGAGAGACCTCCCTCTCTTATCTATCCTAGCTAATCCTGACACGATGCAACTGCCAAGCCCCTCACTTCTGTCCTTTCCCGATCCGACCACGACTCAGCCCGACCGGCTCTTGGCTAACTATACGAACACCTTATTCTCTAATACCACTACTGCATATCTGCTCTGGTTAAGGATAGGCAAAGAAGCGATGTGTGTAATCAACTGAACTGAGACGTTCGGTTCACTGCAATGGGGTTGGGAAGACAAAAGTATCGGGACTGCTTAATGTGGAGTAAGGTTCCCGCTTAATAGAAAGAACTGGTGGTCCCAACACTGCAAAATAAACATTTTATTTGGCGGCTCATCTTGGGGATACATGCTCACTGTTACTAACGTTGACTGCTAGAACGGAGCTCGAGGGGTCCTTCATGGAACCATGCTGCCTTCGAACGATCTGAGCTGAGCTAGCATCATGATGATCAAGGTAATGACTAAGAAACACGTGGAGTTCTCGCTTAGCCCTGTAGTAAACGTCATAGCAACTACTTTATCCAACATCCATTCTGAATAGAATGTTCTGATTTACCCACCAATACTTTCCATTGGAGGCTGACGATGGATTCTGAAGGTGTTGCGGGAATACTGGGAACAGAACTCGGCTTATCTATCGTAGCACCTCGCTATGCCGGATGGCTAAGAGTCACCAAATCTCCCATAGAAGGAACCCGGCATAGCAGATTGATGTTGCAGTCGGGAGAGAAGAATTCCCGGGGAAGTTCGTAAGGGACAGAAAGGGATCCGACATATTGAGCTCTGTCGTAGCGAGGTGCGACTTTATTATTTCGTTGCAGTACTCTACTAGTAGTTGTGGCGTATTACGAAGTTGCTATTAGCGCAAAACTTATCATAATTCCATCTCCGCGGTGGCCGAATTTTGCTGGAATTATCGGAGGGATGGAATTTAGAGAGAGGTATTTGTTAGCAAACCACAAGCTTTGTTCCCTCCGAACACTGGAAGCTTGGTAGCGATGGAATTTCAAGAGGGTGGAATTACGAAATTTCTCTGTAGGTATGTACGTATGTATCTACTGGCGGTTGCCAGGGCGCAGCCTGACACCGCCCACCGCAGCGCCCAGCTAGCGAGCATTCGTCCCAAAACATAAACATAATGGCAATGTGCATTGAATTTAGCGCTTACATACATACTCGAAAAAAAAAAAAAACATGAATTGTGTGGGTTTATGTACGTACACTAGTGGCGCACGCTAGCCGTATCTAGTCAGTAAGAAACAAGTATGGTTGAGCGGTGGCGGAGCTGAGGAGGTGAGCTAAAATGTAGGCATAACTACATGTATGTAGGTGTCTAGATAAGATAATTAACTTTAGCTTAATTCCCGTCATGCCCTTCATCATCATCTATTATCATAATTGTGTCGGGTTTATTCGTTAGCCAAGAAGGATAGAGTCGTGAACACAAAGAGCAGCTAAAAAACGGCTCTGAGACAACGATTGTTGTTTTCAAACCATAACAGAAACAATGGGAATCTCAAATAGCATCCAAAGATGAATAAAATATATGCCTATGGTAAAAATTTAAAGCATTGGCTGGATTTTTTTCGGGTGACTAAACGTGAACCGGGTTTCCCCGGATCACCGCCCGTATGCCTAGCAAGGGAACAGAGCCTCCACAGATCCGTACCACACAGCCGAGTGAGTCAATTTAGGCGAGCCGGAACAGATTCCGCAGCAGTGGTTCAGAATAGCCACCATGCAGCTAGGTAACAGAACCTCATATGTATCTAAACTGAGCCTCAAATCACTAAAAAAAAGAAGGCTCTTTATCCCATTTCCAAAGGGAAATAAACTTCCAAGAATGCTGCGAAGCTATCTGGCAATTCGAATAGTCCGAACAATATTATATATATTAACGAACTCGATTTGATGGATTGATAAGTTATTTAATTGGAGAGCCTTGGCAGGGTCTGTGACGCATGGCGCGGATATTTGAAATATATACAATCAATTTATAGTCTTCGAAAGTGTTCGTCGAAAAAATTATGTTCGCGAATAAGAATGAGAATTATTCTATATAATTCCATGGGCATCTGCAGGCTCACATGTTAGAGGATTTGAAGAAATCAATAAGTTGGGGACCTTCGGCGGATGTTCCGTGCCTGAAGGACTGCGGGCTGAGTTCAACTCGCAGCTGACAATGCCCAGGATTCAAAAACTTTGCCTGAATAGTTCCGGAACTGTTGAAGCTAAGGATTCTCAAACGCATAAACGCTGGGAGACAGCTGGTCTTGAGACATCACCTACATACAAATCAGTCAAGTTTACATTCATTTCGAGGAATTGAAACGAGACAACCTCATGAGGAGCTGAAGTATAGGAGAAATAGTACTAGCTCACTATGTAAGGGTTGTATGAGCAAAGGGCCAGATTCGGAGATGGGTTATTCTCTCCCCTGCATGGACGCCACCATGTACCAATTCTGGTCGATTCCGGTACAAACTCCTTCATAAATTCAACGTCTAAAGTGGCAGGAGAAAGTGTTTTCGTAACACCTCCTACACACCACCCCTCGCCCTTTATCCCAATGTCACATTCGACGTAAGCTGACGACGACCTGGAAAGATTTAGTGTGATAGCCACACAAACCTTTATTTGAATTGTGCCAGCTAGATGTTCGAACGTGTCCTTTAAGTTAGCGTACGGAAGTTCCGAGACCTATGTGCGTCTTTGCGGATGCCTAACAAGAGTATGGAGTCCATTACACCACTGAAGAATGAAACCGCATGTTCTGGATATGTAGGGGCATCGCATTCTTCTTGCCGCTGGATTTCTTTGTTTCAGTAATCTTGGTAGTGAAAGCTGATCACAGCAGCTATTCGGTCGGTGGGGAGGTTTTTTCGATGTGGGTTATACGTACATAGTATGTGTTGTTTCCCTGGAAGATCTATGCATCTATCGACGTTTTCACTTACTGTGGTTCGTTACACGTAGTAATCTAAGCAGGTCTCGCGGGAGGCATGCCGGAGTGTAAATAACTTAGCCTTGTCAGTTGATGATGGTGTGCGCTATATATATCAACTAGACTACCGCACATTCATTGGCGTTGATTCTCTTGCGCTGTCAGACGCTGTGAAAGCTAACCAACGAGTGTTTCGCGAGGGCCCTTGTCACCCCCGTCGACGGGTAGGTTCGGGGGTACTCCGAAGGGCGGAGTGTAATAGAATAAGTGATATTAGAAAGTGCTGGGACCGTAACTGCAGGGACCCCTAATCAGGCACACTAGACTACCCGCGGTGTGGAAGGTTGAAGACAGGAAGGTTGATCATCAGGCGTTGGCCCACACTCTGAAACTCTTGTTAACTAGGTGATGTCACCTTAAATACATGACTCTTTTGTTACATGAGAATAGATCGAAGAGAAGGCTACCTTTTTGATATCGGAACCCAGTGAGAAGTTTACACTTGGTATTCACGATCCTGTCTCCGACTTGTATCTACCAACTATAGGGTCGATCGAACATTTCGTGGCATAGCGAAGCCCACATTCCTTGCATCAAGAGAGCTCATGTTGTGCCAGATTTTAAAGAACATCAAACGCGTTCTCAAACTGTATCGGACAACACTAAGGTCCTTCCTTGTACGGACGAGTGATAGTTCGTGATCACAGAATATATTACCTCCCAGCACGTGAGGTGAGATGCAGGTGCTACATGTCCATTGAGTGTAGGATAGCCCAACTGTTCCGAGTGCGAGACTAAATGAAAGTTTTTCTTCCTCACCCCTACCTACTATAATCTCCCGCCAATAGCCAGATAATTAGTATAGCAAAACAGAATTAACAAATTGCAAAATACCATTAACCTTCCATGGGGAGCTGATCATATTTGCGTACCCTGCAGTTCAAGTCTGCCTTTGTCCGATTTTAAATTTTTGTTGTTGTTTTGCCCTTGCAGTAGGGTGGCCTCGCTGCTCACAACCATCGAAAATAGCAGATATGAGTGGTGGTTTTTGAAAAAAGTGATTCGATAGTGAATAAATATTTTTTTCTCAACAGGCCTACTAAGCCTTGCAAGGAATACAGACCTACATACACTACCTACACATCCAATACACATTGGTACGAATCTAGCCCAAACATAGATAATTTCTTCAAGAAAGCGGAGTATTTATCGGGGAAGGTTTCCCCTGCTCTCGGCGGGAAAGAAGGTGATATACTAGAACTTCCTCAAAGCAGAACCTTCCAAATTCCCAAACCTTGCATCTCTAACTTTGCCTCCTACTCTTCAGCTCACACAGCCTTTGTCCTTCGCTCAAACCTCCTAATCAGTCACACTTTGGCGCCACACGCCACAACAATGTCAAACAGTGCAGAAGCCTCGGCTGCTAGTGGTTCCGGCACTACTCCCCACCCTCCCTCGGCTTCCACCGCTGAGAATTCTCAAGGTGGCCCTAAGAAGATTAATCTTAACCACTCAATCTTCTTCGAAGACCTCTGCCTCCTCCGTCCACCTGGCCTTCCTATAATCGAAGACTTTAACCATACAGATGCTGTAGTGTTTCGCTATGGGGATTACCAACCTGAGCCTGATAAGAGAACAAAGAGCAGATCTGCATCTCATGGCTTTGCTGATGTTAAAGTAAATATTATTGACGGGCGCATGGTCGAGGAGTCTGCAACCGATCCAAAAGACAGCAGAGTATCCACCAAAACGGGCATTCCTGAGCCTCCTCAGGCTACATATGAGATAATTCCCTTGGCTAGAATGACAAATGTCGCGACCACTGATGATGGGAACAACTTCTGGCTGAAGAAAGATGGCCCGGCTCATGTGCAGATTCCGTAAGTGCCCAATCCCCATTTATGTTTTACCGAACATCACCATTCGCTAATATGCCCTTGTTTGTGATCTTAGTTATATTCAAAACTTTGCTCAAGATAACATTCAAGTATGCTCCCCTCCCCTACAATCATGCCAGGGGTTTTCCCTCCCCTTAGAACCCAGACTAACACCCAGGCTCCGGATCAGAAACTGTTCGATCTCTCCTCCGATGTTCAATACGACCCCGATGTATTCAGAACATACGGGGCGCGCCCACTCATCAACGCTGTAAAAGTTCAAGTTGGGAATACCTCTCATAATATCTTCGTCGGACTACCCTATCTGGGGTGCGGGCCAGAGAACGATAGAAATGAGAGTGATAGCTTTCCCCAAGATGAGATTGAGAATGGCTTGACACTCCCCTATTATAGAGGTTGTCCAGGGGGGGCAGAAAAAACAGGCTGCGGGCTGCGTGTCTGGCAGTCATGGCATATCCTCTTCGACAATACCAGACTCGCCCTCATTAAATCCCCTCACTCCCCGCTCTCTATGCGTGCCCCACTCTTCGGTCATCAGGCTACTATGGGCCCTTTGCACGCACTTGCGTTGATCATCGGTAACCAGCTCCTGCATGAAGTACAACCGCTGGAGGTACTCAGCACGGCCGTAAAGAAACAAATTTCGGATCTGGGTGCAAAGCTGAGCGCGCATGCCTCACTGAACCTCAGTGAGATCACTCCGGAGGTGAAACAAATATACCAGTGTGCGAAAAAGGACTCTATTGTCCTCATTCAAGAGCATCTCTTGAACGTAGAGACAATTATCACAGTTGTGGGGGAGCAATCAAAGATCCTTCAGGCCCTGGCAACTATCACCACTAGCCAACAACTTCCCCACTTGAGACCGACCTTCACCAACGCCGTACCATTAACGCATTTTGACGCCCAGGGCGAGCAGCTGAGATATACACGGGGGATATTCGAGCAGTTGATTACGGGAAGGGAAAGGCTGTTGGCTGATATGGAAAAGTTGCAGAATGAGCTGCGGGGTGAGCTACGGATGGTCCGAGATACAATGCAGACGGAATCGACACAGAAAACTAGCGTGCAGATGAAAAATCTTTTAGCAAGGCAGGGACAGACTGTATCGGTCTTTGCGGTTATAACGGCTATATTTCTCCCGCTGGGGTTCTTTGCTCAGGTAGGTGATGGTGACTTAATGCCTCTGCTTTCTCTACCTATGCTGATAAAACGGTGGTCTAGTACCTAGGGATGAACAATGATGTATGGTCAGGCATAACCACCCATGAAAAGTTCTGGAGGGTTGCGGGACCAATCACAGTGTTTGTGACGGCATTGCTGAGTTACTTCATGTTCCGGAACGACGACGATATCAAACGTGATATTATGAGGATCACGCCTTGGGAAATCAACTGGGAACACGGTGAAAAGACACCGAGACAAGTTCCAGCAATGACGGGGGCAGGACCAGTGCAGAATGAGAAGTCAAGTAAGGTGCCCGGTCAAGCGACCGGCGGGGAAACCAAATCGCACCAAAAAAGGCTAAATAAATCCAAGAGCTCTTCCACCCCTACCAATTCAGCATCACGGGGAAACGGCACCCTCAATTCCGGCGTAGTAGCTGAGGGGGACGACAGGATCGCCACGGGACCAGGACGAGGGAGCACTCAGCCACAGGCGGCCGGAGGTTCCGGAAACATCGATCAACTGACCAATGGGGGTCAGGAAAACAGCGCCGCACCCCTCATCGGTATAGTAATCGAAGGGGATAATATGACCACCACTGGACCAGGACGAGGCAGCGCCCATCCACAGGCGGCCGGAGGTTCTGGAAACCTCAATCCACCGACCAATGGGGGGCAGGAAAACAGCATCGCACCCTTCACCGGTATAGCATTTGGAGGGGACGACAGGACCGCTACAGGATCACGACAAGGCAGCGCTGACTCACCGGTGACCGGAGGATCAGGAAACCATACGCAACCGGCCGGTGGAGAAAGAAGATGGTATCAAGGAATTCGAATACTGCGTAGATTAAAGGGATCTTCCACCCGTGCCAATTCAATATCGCCGGAAGAAGGCACCGAATCACTCACCAGGCCGTAGTTAAATCGGACGACAGGACCGCCACAGGGTCAAGACAAGCAGCCGACTCACAGGCCGCCGGAGTTTCCGGCAGCCACCAGGCATAACATCAATCATGTGGCGAGGGAACCAGAGAATTGTTATGTCGGACCCGGCACAACGGTATAAGGTGGTATGAATGCGTGTTTTGTTCAATGCTGCCGTATCATTCATCACATTCTTTCTTTCTTTTTCCTAAGGCGTCAAGAGCTGGAGTTTTGTTTTTCATTAGGTAATTGGTATAATATTGTCTGTCCTTCCATTATCTTCCTCTTCGTTATGAAGGGAGGAGCATTAAATGTGGTGGCTGTCGCCAGCTTTTCTTTGTAGCATATATTCTTCTTTTCCATTTGACTGGAGCATATTTTCTTTCTGCATATGTTATGCCTCAAAGGTTGGATGGGTTTGTTATATCGTGCTTCCCCAGTTTTTCTTTATATTTTTCTTTTTTAATCCGAAAAAACTGCATTCTCTTTACTGAACTGAATTAAACGGAATTAAAGGTCGAGAAGTAAACTAAGCGAATAAAATCGATTCAAACTGACCCTTCTCAACCTTTCGCGCAGGTCGAGGCGTTGACTTGTGATGCAATTAATGAATTAAAGAAAAAAAAAAAAAAGAAGGCGTTGAGTTGTGCAGGGTTAGGTGTGCAGGGTTAGGTGTGCAGGGTTAGGTGTGCAGGGTTAGGTGTGCAGGGTTAGGTGTTGTAAGCCGGGACGAATTGCCTTAGCAGTAGAGGCCAAACTATTGGATGATAGAAGGAAGATATTGATAGGACTGCTATAGTTTCCAGCTTGATATTGTATCATTGAGGACAGCTTGTCATGCCACCGATTTCTCGCTATAAGTCCACAATTATGCGTAGCGGACGGCAAGGTATCCTGCGTGACAAAGGTGTCCAGGGTTAGACGTTCAGGGTGGGGTGGTCGTCGGTCGTACGAGGCGTTCCACCTACATAAAGAACACGTTCGAATAGATTTGAACAGGTTAATCGACTGAATCGTTAGGTATACTGTCACGGTATCTCGCTAGCCATAGACAGTCCTTGTAGGCGTAGAGCACGCAAAATACTTTATCTCGACATCCACAGTAAAAGCCCACGCCATCCTCTGAAGCTTGAGAATTGCGGTCATAAACACAACTTGGTGTATCAATAGATGGGATTGTAGCTGGATTATATATTTGCTTGATTTAGGCCGTGAAAGGAGTTCAGCTAGCTGCACTGCCACCCCCGACCGCTACGATCCCCGTAAAGAGTGTAGGTATCTACCCGTATAGTAGCATAGTAGTTGGTACTACATGCGGTTAACCATCTACATACGGGGCCAATGATAACAAATACAAGGTAATCCACATATCTCTCTTGAGGTGGCGAACGGTAGAGACCGCGCAGCATGGATATAGATTAAGGATGCTCATCTTTACAAGGGGGGAGATATCGAGCTTTTACTATTACCCACTGGGTGGATAAAACGCACATCGTGTGTCAACTCTCACGCGTTGCTAGGACCTGGAAGCGTCCAGTACTCCATGCAGGAACAGGGACAGGGACAGGAAGAAGTCTTGGCGAACGGTAAGGATTAGCATCTTGATTACATAGATAAGTTCGGATTGAAATTTGCGTGGTTGTTACTATATACGGAGGTATTTGAAGTACGGCGGTAAGACATACTGAAGAGATATGAATAGGAGTTTTGGAAGACCAGCCAGTGCGCCTACTATGAGTGGAAGTGCATCAACTAGCGCATTCCTGGACCAAACACTAGGAAAAGGCGCATGTAAGTGGAGTCTCGATAGACGCAGAGGCTGAGCGGATTCTCCATTAATTTGTCATTTCCGGGGTAGCCCGTTCAGCGTGTAACATGTTAAATGCCCAATCAGTGTTTGTAATGAGACGCCGGTTTGGCGGTATAAACCGGTACGAAACTGAGTAATAATGAAACAGTACAACTCGAGCTTCACGTTGTGGTAGTTATACAAAGACATGATACGCCCTAAATCGATACAAACTAACTGACTATAACTAGGACGGGATACCGTTTTAGGCCACTATTTGCCCCTTCAAAGCAAACATTTGGCCTTGAAACAATTGCCAAAAACCCTAACCCACAAACAAGTTAGATAAATGGTGCTACCGGTTTAAGCTTGTTGGAAAAGGTGGTTAAATCACTAAGTAGTTAGTACTGTTTTGAGGTCCTGATGGTACAATTAGTAAGTACATTGACAGGATGTTTTCACACTAGAGTTTGTATCATTGCAAACACCGTGCTTAATTGTGCTACACCCCCCTGCTAGTCCTTAACGCCCGCAGTAGCACTCAACCCACACGCAAATCCCCAATTCTAAGCGCCCTGGTGATCTGGCACGAACAGAATCTAAAACAGTTTACAGGAGTACGTACGACCGTGAGAAATGTATCATTATCCCATTTTCATTTCCTTTTCCTTGAGTTTTCCTTGCCTTTTCCTTGCCTTTTCCTTGCCTTTTCTTGTGCCCTTTCCTGAACCTTTTCCCACCGTAGAGCGCCCAAGCCCCATTTTTATCCCTTCCCTTAGTGATAGGCGCAAGAATTTCCCAAGTCACGTCTCGTCTTGTATTCTCCAACAGAGTCTTGAAAAACTCGAGATAATGGTCCAGTCTCATCAAAGTCTCACAACTCACCATCATTTAGATCTAGGGGAGTCACACAGAGATGCCAGTTGATTAATGATAGGCGCAATACAGAACAAGACGATACTTGAGAATGTTTTGTCTTTCCTTGCGTGGGTTATAATTACCCTTCAACCGTCAGTTGCTGGCCCCCGATAATATGTAGGCATGGAACTATATGGGGGACCTACTATTTGATATGAAAGAGGAGAAGATCAGTTAGTAAAGCGACACTCAATTTCCCGTTCTCTGGAGGCCAGGATTGAACTGACGGTTTATAGGATAGCAGGTGGTTTCGATGTATAGTGCCAAGTCTCAAGACCTAGGGTTAGGGATATCTGGCCTCCCGGATACCATGGCATCCACCACACAATACCCTCGCAACACCATAAGTACGCCAGACTAACAGGGTACATACTTAGGGCTTGGGGTGCGGGTGGTACGCGTACGTTTGTGGGTGCCAGTTGAGGGCTACGGGGGCTGTACCCTAATTGCCTATTTAACGCGTTACTACTGATGTAGGGCCAAGGATCCGGCAAAGCTTCAGAGTTTATCGAGACTAATAAATGTCAACATAGACCTCAGTTTATTGCCAAGACTGTGAGCTAAAAAGAAAGCAAAAAGAAAGTCAAGCTTCGGGGTATTATTTCTCTAATTTCGCACTAGTTTTCGCTCCATCTTTGGGGGCTGTACTCATGGATGAAGGTTGGCTGCCGCTGGCCGACCGCACAAACTGCTCAACGCACCCACCAAAGCTCCAGTTAAAAGTCACCAACGTTTCTAAAGGACATTAAATTTAGAGCTGTGTTTATTTTTTTCTTTCTTATTGATAAGATCTTTGGTGCATGCGTTAGTTGACAATAATACCAGTTAACCCTAGTGAGGTTACACGGTTCGCGGTAGGCTCTACGGTGTTATTTTCAATGCTGTCGCTGTATGGAGCACCGTAGACTCTGTCAATCGGACTTTCTCCATACTTCTACAGTAATCTTACCACACGCTGTAGTCCTCTACCTATATTTTACGACAAACACTGGATCATGAACGATCACTCGCATTTCGAAAAAGGGCTCTTTCTGTTTTGTCTCTTCTCTGGCTGTCGTTTGTTTTTATCCCGTATTCTTGGTAACATCTCGCGGTGTGCCCCATCACCACAGGTAATGCAAGCCAATTATCTATTTGTTTCGGAACTAGGGCGGAGAGAACCGGTAAGTCGAATGATCTCTGGAACAGTGTGGTCAGCTCAAGTCCTCCAGCTCGAGCATCTATCCTCGCAGTCGGGTTCGCACCATCGCTTCCTCCTGCGTGAATTGAAAAACGGCTGTATCACTCCGCATACCCCCCCCCCCGCGGGGGGGACCATTTCATGTTTAAACTCTTCAAGTATCTCCTTAACCCTAACCCTAACGCAATTAATGGAGTAATCAATCAATCAAACCGCTTACAACACATGTCCACACAAAGAGATATTAGAATGACTCTGAGAACTACAGCTTTTGCAAGTCAAGTCGATGAGCTGCTGTCGCTAGTCCAGCCTAGTCAAGTCGAGCGCTTCCTGCTGACGATTCATCTGTGAGTTCAGCGGGGGAAGGAAAGCTGGCCTTGGAACCTCTCCAAGAAACTATTTTCGAGAGCTTTGTTGAGGTGGGAATGGGACTTGTACAGTGGGGGCTGCGTTCGACGACGGCGAGTGGCGGGTGGTACCACCCCGCCACCAAATTCCATTGCCCTCTGACTGGAATATAAGTGTTCAATGCTGCATTCCCCACTTCTTTTTGCCGTGCCTTGTTTTCTTCCGCTACAAAACAAACGCTGCATGTTGGCACGCCTTCCCCCCCACAGAAACCGCCACGCCCACCACCTCATCCCCACTCCTCCTCGGTTCTGCACGACACTTTATCCCCGCACCGCCGAGCCATCGAACCCTAACCCTGTCGCCCCCTTCCTGCGTAGCTAGACCTCACCTCAGGTCAGCTTCCTCACGAGCCGATAAAGCATTTCCTTCTCGATTCCCGTCCCCGCTATCGACTAGCTCCAGTGTGCTATCTATATCTCCAAACGGTTAAAACTGTGGCGCAGGTGTTGTCACTACCTGTAGTTACTGGGAGAGATCATCATGCAACGTTCTGCACTGTGGTCCGATCAGGGGCGGGTAGTTTGCGCTCGGCGACTGTGGATGTTACGGGCGTCGTCGTCGCTAAGATATTCGGTGTGGTAACGCCGCTCTACGGCTCGGATGCCGCGGCTGACCGGGTTAACCGCGCGGTCGGTGTGTGGCGTACGCGACGTGGGGCAGTGTGGAATACCCGGGTGGGCGGAGGCGGGCACACACAACGCTTCACTGACTTGTCCCCCGCACGCCACACCTGTCTGCGAAGAGCTGGCGACGGCAGGGTCCGCGGAAGGGGTAGAATGCTGGGATGGGGTGTAAGGTCTCCTCTTGTGCTGTGGGGAGGATGCGCCTGTTATGGCCGTGCGGAAGAGACCGGGAGGGAGGCGGGGGGTTGGATAGGCGGGAGTAAGCTGGTACTCGAGTGAGAACGGCCCTTCGTTTGCCATGGCTATCACCTCGGGGATATATTCAAAACCGCGGAGATTGTGATTCCAAGAACGTACACGATATATATCGATCCTGCCTCTATTCCTACACCCGATCAGTTAGAGATGGTTTTAATCCAGCTACCACCCTTAACCAAGTTACGCCAAACTGGGAGCGGGCGGGGGTGAAACGTAGTTACAGAACGAAAAATTGGGGTTCTATTGATGCCGAATTAGACAAATCTGGGATTTTAATTACTCTAAGCTAGTTCATGACGGAATGTGATGGAATTTGTGCCCGACAGAATGCTAATTCGTTAGAATACCTTAGGTTCAACCTAATTGACATTATAACCGCATGGGAAATTTAAAATATTATCGATAAATTCCCAATATAGTCACCTTTCATCAACCACAGAGCCAGAATATGTAGTGATATCATTTTTCTGGAAGGATTTAGATTGTATATCGATATATCGCTATAGTACAATTCTTCAAACTTGTAGATTAAATCATATTTTTGGCATTTGGATACAGGTAGGATTGACGCAGTATTTGATTAATATTCTCGTTTATGTCGGAATTTGACACAATCCGGTATTGCAACCTGTATTAGTCTAGGATCAGTGTCAGCTCAATAAATACCAACTCTACGAAATCGCATCACCTTTTTTCGTACAATCGATATGTAGCTAGCTGCGGGTGAACAGAACCGATGAACTGGGCTTTGGCTATGGAGGCCCGGGTGTTAGATATAAACGAAGAGGTGCGAGGCGATTGCGGCGGGCGTGAAAAGGCGGAGGACCCGGGAGAGCTGGAGGAGTCGGAGGAGCTGGAGGGGCGAGCTGCTGGGTTCGGGGGTCTCGGAAGCTATCACCCGGGTTCATGAGCTGCTTGACTCACTCCCGTATCTCAAGCTACCCTCAGAGGTACTTATACCCTAGCTTCCACCCCCGGAATTCAAGTCTGATCCAAAGGCCTACTACCTGCCGCGTCCTGCCCCGATCATAGATCCTACCTCATACCAGCAGCAAAGCTCCAGCCCCTATAGAAGATTATTGAGCTAGAAAAAGAGAAAAAAAGAAGCCACTTTGCAGAGGATTGGGTAATCGAGTGATATCCTATGACCGGCGCCGAGCAAACTGTGGACCTGTATAACCTGCAGGGCAGCTTGTGGGCAACATGCAGGCTTAGAGAAGTTTCTGGTGTCGGTCGTGCCTGGGTGGAGGTGTAGACGTAGGTTCGTAGTTGGGGGATTGCGGGGTGTGCGGGTGCGGGGTATGGGCATGTCCGCCGCGAGGGGGGGATCCCTACGGGGTGCGGTGGGGGCAGCGATGGGAGGACGGTGTGGTGAGCTTGTTCCTGCTGTGAGCACAGTGGTGGGGTTGGGGTGGTTGTTGAAGTGGTGGGGTTGAAGTAGATGGTGCGGTCAAGGTACGGGGAGGGGGGAGGCGGGGAAAGGGGTGCAAGGAGGTAGCTCGGAATGTGCTATATACCTGTTTGCCCGAAACTAGCCTATATACCCCCAAACTCTCAAACTCCCAACAACGATATCCATCTCCTGAAGGAAAGGTCGCCATGAGGCCATTGGTATCCCTACGATACAATCTATTTGGTGTGTAGTGGTACGTAATCCGTGTGAGGAGGATGATTCATGAGTATCGCCAGGTTGATTGAAATACGGCAAGGTATTGTACTCTAGCATGTGAGCTGCATACATGTGGTCTGGGAGCACTAGAGCTAGTCAGAACATCCATTCAAGTGCGAAGAAAACTCAGTGTTGTGCTGTTCTGTGTTTAATGACCCATCGTTTGGGAGAACGATTTTTCAAACACGGTTCTATTTCAAATTTAACCGTACTTGGGATCTAGTTTTACTCAAACCTCGCTGGCAGGTAGACTCCAAGTGAATTAAAGCTCCTAGACATTGTATTCAAGTAATGACAAGATGTGCAGGATGGCGTCAGAAAGTGAAACTGGGTTGAGACGCGAGCAACAGGAGTACCTAGAGCCAGTAGGGCGGGTCTTGCTTTGGTGGACCATCGCCAATCCCAGCTTCCAGCACCCCGATGGCATTGATGCCGAGCCTTTGGTCAAAGTGCAGCAGAGGCTCCAGTATAACTGACATGACTCTCCTCAGTGTCTCCACCACCCAGGACCGGAGTCTCCCCTTTGAGGTCACGTCGCCAATTATCTTAGGGGGTATTGACAATAATGTGAGTAGCAAATGCACCTTGGTCAACGGCTTGGATCGTACTTTTCCCGGTATATTGCCTATCATCATATATATTGGCCAGGTCTTCTTGTCTCCGGAGAAGTTTGTCAGATGCGTGCCGTCGGAGCTGCAGATAATGGGGACAATTGTGGCCCCAGTAGGAAGTCTTTCCTGCGTATTCCACTACCAGTCCACTGTATCCATTTCGGAATAGAGTTGATATCCATCCACGCCGTAAACCCTCTCTGGCCGATAAACCATGCTCGACTTGTTGCAATGTTGACCCAAGAGATACCTCATGCATTCGACCAGATTCCTGTAATATAAGTCGATCATTCTTCCAAAGCCGTCCCCGATGGTTCCATATTGAAAGTTAGGTATGGAGCCCGTCATTTTGTCAAGCTGGTTCTGGAAAGTATAAGCGGACTGAAAGAAATGCAGGTTCTTTGTCGTCTTGTGCAACCCCTTATTGAAGTAGGCGTTAATTGATGTAGAGGTCAGCTTGTTCTCGATAAAGAAATGAACCAATCTCCATTCCGCTGTGTCTTTGAACGGTATTCAAGGCTTCCAATTGTATTCCATATAGTCCCGATGTAATGGGGGTCTCTTCTGAGAGGAATAGAATAGGATAGAATAGAGACGGCCATGCAAGATAGACAATCAGGTTGCAGATTATTCAAAGATACAATCGCTAGAACTCAATAATCTTTAAGGGCTCTGCTACCGACAAGAACTTGGTTTTCTTTCTGATGAATACTGGAGAGAACAGGACTGAAGGGCGAGAATGAACCTGAGTACTTATACTCCGAAAGGCCTGTATTCTCTGCTTCTAACTCCTTACTCAGTTCCGGTGAAACCTTTCCTCGGTCCAGGAAACAATACCACCGCTACCCCACGTTTCTCTAAGCATCAGCAGGTGTTTCCGATACCCAAGGCAACCACCCTTTGTCAAAGCCTTTGTAACACCTGCAGCCTTGGTTGCCGCACAACTGGGGCCTGCATGAATGAGCTACCGCTTAAGTGTAAGCTTAATCATTGCTGTAGAGCTTTCGCTTAATGTAGACTTCCATCGCACAGTCCTTGCCCTTCGGTGGACTTTAGAATGCTTAGAGGATACAGAGGATTACCGGACAATCAGAGCTTCACTCTGGCCAGTCTGCTAATCATTGACGAGGCATAGACTCGTCAGTTATTGCTCTCATGAATAGATCCCCTTCCTATTGCCCGGCATGTAGTTACTCTAACAGCTGGTAGCTAACCACACTGCCGGTACTTGCATATCACCATGCAACTAGCTTCTAACAATAATTCTCAGCATGTAACCGGGCCCTATGTGTACTCATACACCAGGCAGTTGAAATGGCTTCGTTACACCCGATAGCTTTGGACCCGTCCTAGTATTTATCCACTATTGGGTAGGTATGTTGTGACCCTTTCATTATCGTCAGCTTGCTCTGAGATCGGGGGGGTGATCGCCGCAGCGCTACCATTGTCGGAGTCAGCATCAAAGTCGGGTTCCACCTCAGAGTCAGCTTCTGAGTCTGTAGAATCGTCTGAGCCATCAAATACTAGAGTAAGCGTACCAGGCCCGGTATCTGGCAGCGTAGTTCCGCCTTCTAAATCCTCGTCCTCAGGTACATCGTCACCGCCATGATGCCGGTGAATGTATCTTGCAAGATCTCCCGCGCGATGGTAATAGCTTGGGCACAGGGGGCAAGGTATGGATCATTTCCACTTTCTTGATCAGTCGTGATGGTCTTTTGGTTTATCGTGCGGATGTTTTGCTTCGTCATGTGCCTCATTCTCGCCTTCACTGGCACTGGTATCGAGTGGGTTTATACTGCTGGAATTCTGACTGAGCAAAATCACGACTGTAGCACAGACCAACGATCATTTCCTCGGGGTAGTCAGCCACGAGCCAAGCTTTGCCAAGCAAATGCTACCTGACATTATTTATCACAACATCGTCTGACCTCACCACCAACAGTTGCAAACCTCCATCAAAGTACTCGTGTTGGTTCATTCATTAACCTAATCCAGCGAGGATGAGCCTTTATTTGTCATCCCCTCCCTTGTGTATATGGTTAGGCGTTACGAGTTGCCGATTCCAGACCACCCTTACGATGGTAATTTGCACAGTCTTTGTTCTATATAAGGGTCTAATATCCTGTTGCTTTCCCGGAGTCTATCCTCCTGAAAGCATCCACCAACGGTCAACTATCTTTTAATCAACTTGCTAACACAACTGACTACAATATTGGGAACTCGGTCGGGTAAAAACAAGTCGGCATTAGCACAAGCAGGAAGGTCATCCCCGAAGAAAAGATTAGATGGGGCCGATAAGGAGGGCCCCTGAGTTTTCTCGATGAGCAGAACAGCGTGCATAGCAGAGGTAAGATTTCTATCAAGTTCTATATCTCTCGCCCTCTGAAGCCTGCTAGCGGTATTCGAAAAAGAGCAGATTTACTGGCACTGAAGTTAAGTCCTTGCTCGGCATTACGCCGGCCCAATGGTGGCATGTGTTGGAAGTTGTGCACAACTATTTTGTCAAAAACGTGATTGCCAGCAGAAATATCGCAACAGAGGAGCAATGGGGTGAGACCGTGATACTCCTGCTCAGCTATCCGCCCTGAAAAAATTTCAGACATTGCTTCAACAGCCGGAGCAAGATTGCACCTTACAAGGGGCCTTGATCCAAGTCTTTGTGAACAGTACACTCTATAATCTTGCCAAATATAAGTCTGCTGAGGATAGAGATAAGTTCTCTGGGGTACTCAAAGAGAAGGAGCATGCGGCGAAGTCAGAGAAGGCGAAAGCAGCAAAGAAGAATGAGACCAAGGGGAAGGCAACCGAGACAAAAGGCAAGGGTAAGCAATGCGAGATGGCGCCAACTCGCAATTCAACAAAGAGGAGCAAGCAGGCTCAGGCGTCTCTGCCCGATGAGGAGGACAAGGTCTACCCTGAAATTGACAAATTTGCCTCGTCGGAAGACGAAGCGGAGACGCCGAGGGACAAGGCAGACATCGGAGATGATACGGATAATGAAAATACTTCTGAGGAAGCTGACAAGCCCTTCTCGGTGAAGACCCGCAAGGTCGAAAGGGCAACATATCTTACTGATTGGCCTATCGGCATTTCGCATTGTTTCCCCTCCAGATACCTCTTTGAGCGACTCGGAGGGGCGAAGTTGGAACTACGCCGGAAGCCTTGGAAAATGCGTAATTGGACTCCAAGAACATTTGATGGGCATCCTTACCCGACCTTTAGTTAACTTCCTGGTCCGTATCTATCGGAGGTCGTGAGAATAGTCAGGGGAGTACAACTAGACCCTGAAACCCACGGCTGTGCTTCTGACTTGCCACACCCCACGATATGCCATTTGGTTGGGTCTCTTGTCTTCTATGAGAAGTTTTCCAAGACCGCATCGGGTCAATATTGTGTTTACCAACCGCTACCTGAACAAATTATCTTCCTACAGTCGGACAAAGATGTCAGAGTATGGCTCAATGCTTGTAGAGTTGAATAGCGACTGAGACAATTGGTCGTTGATAATGAAAGCGATAAGAATTGCAGGTAGACTCCACCGCCGCTATTATTCCCCTACTTTCATGGTGACTGAGAGGTTCTGATAGACAATCAGTTGCGGATTGAGTGGAGAGTGTCGGGCATCAAGGCTGAGAAGATAGGAACATGTTGGGGGAAACCGACGAAGAGGGAGAGAAGTGAGATTGTGGAGGTGAGTGACGATGACGATAAGGATGCTGATGAGGATGCTGACAACGACATCGACGACGATGCTGATGACGACAACGAAGGCGAGAGTGAAGGTGGAGGGTCGACTTGATGTGAAAAGCCCAGAGGAGAGAACACCGGAGTAGGCAGCTCGAGCAAGGGGGGTCCGAAACGTAAGGCAGGGGATAGCTCGAGCAAGACAGGGGATAGTTCGAGCAAGACGGCGCAGAAAGACGAAATTGATGGCGACGACAAACACGAATAGTACAAGGAGAATGATGATGTTGACAATGAGGAAGAAGAAGAGGAGAAGGGTGAGGAAGAAGAGGAAGCAGTAGAGGAGGGAGATGCCCCAAGGAGAAAGAAGACAAACACACTCAGACCCAAGATGCCGGTCAAGACGTCACCATCAAAGACACTCAAGCCCAAGACATTGGCCAAGACGCCATCATAAAAGAAAACCGGCCCAAAGACCCCAGCCAAAACATCTGCTCAGACTACTTTTGCCCAGCGAAGAGTTAAAAAGTCGAGAGCATAAGTTGGACTAAATTCCGTGCCAGTAGTACATTTTCTCCTAATGCTGCTAATGTGGTCAATACGTTAGCCACCACTTGTTCGATAAGCCTGCTGAGAGTCTGCCTTATGAGTCTGAGCTGGAGGAAGAGAAAGGGGACTTAATGTCAGAGTACAAAGGCCGAGTTACTGGTTCGCAAGCTGACAGCGCTGCGGAGTCTGAAAGAACTGCGCAAGAAGAGATGCCCAGTAGAGAGCCTGTCGGGAAAGGTAGTTACGTTAATGGTAGCCCTGATCAGGGTATTCCTCCTGGCAGGTGTGGGGACGAGTCAATCGATATAGAGGTGGGTTACCTTACCGACGCATCGGCCAGTTCATATAACGTGGGTCTATAGGCAAGGAACTATAATGCCAAGGAATACAACCGAGGTAAGAGTGTAGTAGAAGATATTCGTGACTATGGACTATGGGGCGGCTCTTGTTCGATCTGACAATCAAACTGAACCCTGTGATGTAGCGTAGAACAAGAATACTATTCGTGGAGTAGAATATAGAAGAAGAAGAAGAAGAAGAATCTCATATTGCTTAGAAGCCGAAGCTTATCGCACACCTAACTACCCGACTATAACCTCCACCGACTAACCCGAAGCCAAAACAAAGTACAAAATCTAACTACCGCAGCTACGAGAACTACGTACATCATAAGAAAAACACCGCACGAAGAGGGCGCGAATAACAAGTGGTACAGGTAAGCAGAATCTAAGCGACAACAAAGAAACCTCTCCGTAGTAAGAAAGAACCCCAGACTTCTCCGTCAACTACATTAGCGAGCACAATCCGAAACATGGTGTTCAACCGAAACGGTATCATTACCAACGTCCCCGGTGTCATATCTGTGGACGAACCTTAACAGGACTGGGAAACCACGCGCACGAAGGCAGGAAAGGCCAACTGCAACAGCGTCAGGGGTGAAAGCGAGGGGGGGTGGGTCGAATATGGGTCCTCGGGTATCTGGTTGTCAGGCAGCGAGGAATTGAGGAGTGGTGACCGGTTGGTCAGTTAAAGAGTGGTGGGGTCGTCGGTCCCTGGAGCAACGGCTAAAGACTGTGCCCGAGTCGTGTTTTGAAGTGGTGTCCTCTGGAGGGGACATGCAAAAAGGGTTTGAGTCTGAGACTCAGTATGTATGGGGGTCGCAATCGAAAGTGCCGACCGTATTGTGAGGGTTGGTCTCGGAGACCGGTTGGGTTGGGGTGAGGGGAGCGGGCCGCCTCGGTTAAGAAAGGGTTGCCTGGTTAAGGCCGAAAAAGAGGGGTAAGGTCATGGGACCTCGGGTAAAAATTTGACGATAGTTTCGCGACCGAAGGTTCGCTAACTTCGCGGGCTGTCGAGCGCTTTGGTAGTAGGTTCTCGCTGATAGAGATTACTGACAGTGTGCGTACCCGACGTGTGGGATCACTCGTGCGATGAGTGAAAGTAAGGAGGGGCGAGGGCGGCTTTCGAGAGTAGCCGCTATTTTGGCGAGGGGTGAACGGTGGACGCATCCCGTGAGGGCACCGAACGAACAAAGAATGGGGGGTGTCGAGCGAGGGAAGTTCAGGGTCCGAAGCAATTCGAGAATCAGAATAACTCCATCTCGGGGGAAAAAAAATTCTATCGCGAGCCAGAGGCGAGCGAGTAGAATATAGAAGAAGAAGAAGAATCTTATATTGCTTTGAAGTACAAGACTTATCGCACGCCAAACCAACCGCCTAAACGAACCCGAACAAAACCGAGGAAACAAAGGAAAGAAAACAACGAACAAAACAAGAAATAAAACGAACACGAACAACGGTAAGGAAATTCAAGAGCAGAACGCAACCGGAAAAACCCAACAACAAGGAGAAATAACATATCTCAGCGAACTCGGGCGCTGGATCCATCAAAAACAACGGAACAAGAAATAAAAGGTAAAAGGAAACTATCCTTCCTAATCCCGCCTGTAATCATTTTCTTCCATCCCCTCTTCCAGGTCCGCCTCCGCCTCCACCGACTCGTACCATTTCGAGAGTTGAGATTTCTTTGCAAATTGTAGGATATGGTCCGTTTTCAGGTTTGTGAACATCCAATTTTCCCAGGCCATCGCTCCGGGGATTTTCTCTATCAGGGGGGCACGGATTCGAGCCCACGCTGGGCATTCCATAAGTGTATGTTTCGCTGAGTTTTCCATCCCACACTGGCATGGTTCGGGGTCTATGTGTGCTGCATGTTTGTCGATCCGGGTGGTTTGACATCGGATTCGAAATACCTTCTTTGCTTCTGTCAGGGTGAGTTTTGCAATCTTGGGAGGGGGGCGGAATTCCCCCCGATGGTGGTAGTTAGGTATTGGTTGTGTATTCCATTCTTCTAACAGGTGGTCGCGTAGTAGTTTGTTTTGGTTCCACTTATCTCTCATATTTCCGGGAGTTTGGTATGGGAGCAAGAGGGAGGCGATTCGGTGTAGGCCTGTTCCTTTGATGTTTGTTTCTCTGTATGGGAGGAGCTCGATCAGGGATTCATTGTTGGGGTGGGTTGCATTAGTACAGAGTATTCTGGTTCCGTACTTTCTTGAGCGGTATGTCAGAAGGTATTCTAGGGGGGGTAGGCCTGCTTCTCGGAGGAGTTTAGCTCTTTTGGTCAATCGTGGTAGGCCGGTGATGACCCGGGCCGCTTCATTGTATAGTGGTTCGAGGGATCTTATAATGTGGTCTGCGTCAGTCCACCAAGCCTCGGATCCGTAGAGCAGGCTTGGAAGGAAGCCTTGTGTTATTAGGTGGTGGATAGTCTTACCTGTTATGCCTGGCAGGCGGGCAGTGTTTCGAATCTGGTGGAGGGCTTTAAGGCCTTTCGCGATCGCTGCTTCGATGTGGGGCCGGAAGGAGAGGGTCGGATCTATCCAGACTCGTACGTATTTCAGCCTCTCCTTGGGGTATATATTGATGTTGTTAACTTTGACTGGAAGTCGTGTTTGTTGCGTGGATGATGTGGTGGGCCGGAAGAAGATCAGATCGGATTTATCCGGGTCGTATTTGATTTGGAGTGGCTCAGCTTTAATTAGTCTTTCTCTCATTCGTTCCTCCATTCTCCTGATTGTGAAGCCTGGTGTTTTGGATATTTGCACCAGCGCATCGTCATCGATGTAAGTTGTGTCCATCTCTTTTGGGCTGCCAGTTGGGTCCAGGATTACTCCGGCATAGATCATAAATAGTACCGGGGACATGGGGCTACCTTGCGGCACTCCAGAATCATAGGGCTGTGGTTCCTCTAGCTCATAGTTAAATTGGAACTGTAGTTTTCTGCCGGTGTTGAATTCCTTACACCATTCTGTCAGGTAGGTGGGGTATTTTTGTTGGTGCATGATTTGCGCGAGGAGTAGGTGATCGACACAATTAAATGCTCCTTGGATGTCGTTGGTTAGGATCGCTGGTCTGTCTCGCCGGGCGATTCCGGTGCTGTTTTTCAGTAGTAGATTTTGTTGTATTGGTGTTAAGGTTTTCAGGAGGGCGTCGATTGCCGAGATGGTTGGTCTTCCTCCAAATTGATTCGCTGAGAGTGTGCCTAGGATTTCCTCAACGGTGCAGAGTCTCTGAGCCACTATCTTCTCCAGGATTTTGCTGAAACATTGTAGAAGGGAAATGGGCCGGTAGGCTTTTGCTTCATGATAATTTGCTTTACCGGGTTTCGGGATCGGGATACACTTAGCTATTTCCATTCCGCTGGGTGTATACCGTGCCGGAGCATGGCGGAGAACATGTCTTGAATTAGAGTTGTGTTTGCTCTGACTATTGCTTTAATAAAGGTATAAGGGATGCCATCCGGGCCGGTCGCCGAGTGCGCTGGACAGGAGTCGATTGCTTTATTAAGTTCTTCGGGGGTGACTATGTCGAAGGTGTTGCTAAGGTCAAAAGAAGGGGGTCTAATGTTTAGGGGGGGGTGGTCGGGGGACGTCCGTTTCGAGGGGAAACGTTGGGCTCTTAGAGCTTGACACTTCCCAGCAAACGTTTCTTCACCTTGTATGGTTGGTATGATTGTGTCTCTTCTCCTTCCTGCGTTTAGGATTCTCCAGATTTCACTACCTTTCGCCTCGTTCATCGTCTTTTCCCGCTGGTCCGCTTTTGCTTTCCGGATCATGACTGTCCATTCTCTGCAAGCTTTCCGGTGTTCCTCCACGTGGTTGGGTTTCCTTGTGTTTCTCGCCTTCCTTTCTGCTGCGTTTACCCTTGCCTTCATTTGTTTCATTTCATCTGACCACCAGGAGTTGGCTCTTACCCCCTCCTTCGAGAGTGGTGTTACTATGCTGACTGTTGACCTGACCAGTTCTAGGAAGAAATCGACAGTTTGTTCCGTATGTTCCTTGGTTTCCCATGCCTCTGCAGGGATGGAAATGTTTGACATATGGTTCTCCAATAGCTTCCAGTCTGTTTGTCGCCACATACGTCTTGGTACAAAAGGTGGTTTTTCCAAGTGTAAATGAACGGAGGTTCTCCAGTGGTCTGAGCCCGCTCCGTAGGGTTCGGTGCTCCATCGTAGGTTGTGGTCAAGTGTTGGGCCTTTTACAAATGTACGGTCGATGATTGTGGGCCTTTTCCCTCTGTCTCTGGGGAAATGCGTAAAGACGCCTGGTTCATTCAGGAGGGTCAGTTTCTGTCAGGTTATCCATTGCTTTAGCCGAGCACCGTTGACACGGTCTGCCCGAATGTTATTCCTGTATTCATGTGAATTTACTCCGTACCACATTTGATGGTGGCAGTTGAAGTCTCCCATTACTAGGCAGTTGTCGAGGGTTTGGATTGTTTTTGCTATTTGGGCAAAGGGGCCACTTCGGCCTGGGGAGTATATATTTAGGATTTGGGTTTTCTTGTTCTGGATTTCTACCGTAATCGATACTATAAAATTATCGTATGTATAGTGGTGTTTTGGTTTGAGGTTGGCATGTTTGCGGATGTATGTTGCACATTTTGTGTTAGTGTTGCTGGCTGTGAAAATATAAAAGAGATTTGATTCTGGTGGGTATCCCTCCGCTGAGGTCCATGGTTCTTGTAATAGTAGGAAATAAATACTAGAGTCTGTTTCCGCTTCTTCTACCGCCGCCTTGGTAATAAGTTCACTCCGTGCACAATTGAGTTGGTGTGCGAGCGCGGTGGTTCGGGGCATAGGCATTATTTGTCATGTGTTGGTCGTCTTCGGGAACGGGTGTGGCTCCGACCGGGGCGGTGGCTGGTACTTGAACTATTGGAAGAAACTCTTGGACGGGTGCGGCCGGTGGGTCTTGAGCGGGTGGGGCGTTTTCCTTCCCTTTGTTGAGGAAACGGCGTTTTGCCCTCTCGGAGCATGCTGGGTCGGAGGCCTTATGAGCTTCTTTACAGTTCAGGCATCTGATTGGGGTGTAGGTGCATCTATATCCTCCCTGGCATTCGTTACATGGGTGGAAACTGGTGAGGTGATCTCCGGCGCAGTGGCCGCATTTCCCATTGTTCTTACATTTCTCCTGGCGGTGGCCGTATTCAAGGCACTTCGCACACTGAGTGTCCGGAAAGGTTGGAAGGAAGGCCTCGATATGGCAGCTTCGGTTAAAGAGAGATAGGAATTGAACTCCTAGTGTTTCCATTGTAATCTGTCCTGGGGGCGCGATGACCATTGATGAGTGGGGTTTCTCCATTCGAGTCTCTGCTCTGGAGATTCAGCGGGGAACCTGGGCAAGTTGGAAGTTCTCTCCGTAGTTGCTTCTGATTTCTGATGCTACCAATTGTCCCGCCTCGATGCCCTCCCCGACCGTTGTGGGGATTCCATGGAGGAGGAACTTTGACCGTTTGGAGTTTGCACGTATGACCGCGACTGGTACCTGTAGGGTGAGGAAGGCCTCCTCAATTTCTTTGGCATATTCCATTGCCTTTGTTGCAGGGGTAACGAATTTTGTTTCCAAGATGAAGTTGTCCTTGGGTGTTCTTCTTGCTGAGATGAAATGGCAGGACTCGTCTTGGATTCTTGCATTGACCAGGGTCCCGATCTCGGAGGGGTTAACGTCGGATGGGGCAGTGGTTTCAACAATGATTTCCCTGTTGATTTTGGTGTACTCTGGTTTGAAGAGGGGGTCCGCTTTTGGCTTTGCGGGCTTCTTTTTTCTCTCGACAACCTGGAAATTTCCTTGGGCGGGACCGGATGCCGATGTCACGGCGGCCCAGGTGCCTGCCTTCCATCCACGGGGTGGAGCTTGTTGGGGAGGTATGGGTGGGGGGGCCTGAGGAGCTGCCTGTGGCGCTGCTTGGGGGATTGTTTGGGGAACCGCTGGAGGGGCCGTTCTCTTTCTCTGTTGCGGTTGTTATGGTTGTTGTGGTTGTTGGTGTTGCTGCTGTTGTTGATGTTGCTGCTGTTGTTGTTGCAGTTGCTGCGGTTGTGGTTGTTTGCTGAGGAGGGCGTGGATCGCCGAATGCATGTTGGTGATCATGTTTGTCTGAGCCTCGATTTGATGTTTCAGTGTATCCACTGTTCTCCGGAGTGTGGTTGTTTGCTCTTCGAGGTACTCAATCCTGTCAGAGGGTGGGCAAATTCGGCTGGTGGCATGTCTGATGGCCCAGGTAATATAGTTCAGGTCAGTCTGGGTGTGAGTGTCCTGGGGGACAATGCTCGGATAGAGGTAGTCAACTCTCGGTTGGTAGGGGTCGTTGTAGTCGGATTCTGTTGCAAAGGTCGAGGAGAATTCCTGTTCCTGAGCTCCGGGTGGGGTTGGGTCGGGATCCTGAGTGTTTCTGTTCTGCGGGGAGGCTGTCCCTTGCTGGGAAGACTGGGTGAAAAAGGACTGGAGCGAAGCTTGCTGCGACATAACTGAATGTCCAGTTCTTCTGGTGGCGTAGAGTGATGTTTCGGATAAGTTTCTTTTCCTTCCTTTCGGGAGGTCAAGGCTGGAGAATTCTTCACTAGAAGCCAGTTTTCGTAGGTTTTTTTTGCTTGGAACAACAAAACGCGACCGTACCATCGGGGACGAAGTGGCTCAGCCTGGTATGGTATACCAGGGTAAACCGAGAGGAATAAATAAAATGTTTTTGAAGCGAGGTTTATTGTCAGGAAGTTTTTGCGAGCCTTAGCGAGCAAGTAGAATACAGAAGAAGAAGAAGAAGAAACTTATATTGCTTAGAAGCCGAAGCTTATCACACACCTAACTACCCGACTACAACCTCCACCGACTAACCCGAAAACAAAAACAAAGTACAAAAACTAACTACCGCAGCTACAAGAACTACGTACATAAATAAAATAAACGACGCACGAAGAGGGCGCGAATAACAAGTGGTACAGGTAAGCAGAATCTAAGCGACAACAAAGAAACCTCCCCGTAGTAAATAAGTAAGAACCCCAAACTTCTCCGTCAACTGCATTAGCGAACACAATCCTAAACGTAGTGTTCAATCGAAACGATATCATTACCAACGTTCCCGGTGTCATATCTGTGGACGAACCTTAACAGGACTGGGAAACCACTCGCACGAAGGCAGGAGAGGCCAACCGCAACAGCGTCAGGTGTGAAAGCGAGGGGGGGTGGGTCGAGTGTGGGTCCTCGGGCATCTGGTTGTCAGGCAGCGAGGAATTGAGGAGTGGTGACCGGTTGGTCAAGTAAGGAGTGGGTGGGGTCGTCGGTCCCTGGAGCAACGGCTAAAGACTGTGCCCGAGTCGTAGTTGAAGTGGAGTCTTCTGGAGGGGACATGCAAGAGGGGTGAGTCGGAGACTCAGTGTATATGGGGGTCGCAATCGAAAGTGCCGACCGTATTATGTTGAGGGGTGGTCTCGGAGACCAGTTGGGTTGGGGTGAGGGGAGCGGGCCCCCTCGGATAAAAAGTGGGTGGCCTGGTTAAGGCCGATAAAGAGGGATAAGGTCACTGGACCTCGGGTAAAAAATTTGACGATAGTTTCGCGACCGTAAGGTCGCTAACTTCGAAGGCTGTCGAGCACTTTGGCAGTAGGTTCTCGCTGACTAGAGATTACTGACAGTGTGCGTACCCGACTTGTGGGATCACTCGTGCGATGAGTGAAAGTAGGGAGAGGCGAAGGCGGCTTTCGAGAGTAGCCACTGGTTTGGCGAGGGGTGAACGGTGGACGCATCCCGTGAGGGCACCGAACGAACAAAGAATGGGTGGTGTCGAGCGAGGGAAGTTCAGGGACCGAAGCATTTCGAGGATCAGTATAACTCCATCTCGGGGGGAAGAAATCCTACCGCGAACCAGAGGCGAGCGGGTAGAATGCAGAGGTTGCGTAAAGAAAGAAGAGAAGAGAGAAAACGAACAAAAGCAGAAGACAACGCCCCCTTATATATCCAACCATAATCCAATGATAACTAATACCTCCGCATAACAGAAACTAAAAGAACATAACAGAAATCCTCATTACAAATCGTAATCCCACTGCACAATACTTACTCTTCTCGTTCCAATTTATCACCTACCCGAAATACATAGCTGCCATTACAGTTCAATTGAAGTGGCTAAACTCTAAACAATTCCCCATCTTCCCCAGTTCCCCCACCCCCAAACCTCTCCTGCTTCCGCTAACATCAGCCTCCCCTGCTCCCACTAACATCAACCTCCCCGACCTCTCTACGAAGGGCTGGACTTCTGTCTCTCGTCCTGCGACTCGAGAGAAACTTCGTTTCGAGTAGCACTGGAATGATAGTAGGTTGCACGCTCCAGTCACCTGCTCATGAGTTTTCTGATCCTAGTCGCAACCTTTAGCTTTTGATGGTTGTGGTTCTTGTCTTTTTGTCTGCCTATATTTTATGACGCTATTTTTTAGCCACTTTGGCGGTTGTTGCGATATGTTTGGTCTAACTGTTTTGGGTGGTTTGACAGTTGTCCTGATCATCTTTTGGAATTAGCTTTATCTATTTTGCTCTTTTGGGATTAGGCTTATCTATTTTGGGTCTTTTGGGGTTCGTCTTATCTTTATTAGGTCTTTTAAGGGTTAGTCTTATCTCTTTCGGGTTATCTGACGGGGGTCCTTGTAGTTTAGAGTTAGTGATATTTGTTAGGGTCTTTTGGTGCAGAACTTGAGGTGAGTTAGGTATTTCGATGCTGGTTGGAGTCGTTATGGATTCATCTGATTATTAGTAGTATTCTCTTATTAGGAGCGTGACTTGACCGAATACAATACAATGATGAGTATGTTGAGGAAAAAACGTAGCCGATGCCAAGCAAGTGCTTAGTTATCTGACAACTCAAGTCACGTCCAACCTCATCTACTCTCCTCTATCCAATCCGAAGGTGAGTACACAATCTCTGTTGCTCGCTTAGCCTATGACGATTCTAGTAAACGGACGGGATCGACGGAACACAAATAGCAGTAAAGCCCAGACAGCAAGGGTGTGGGATCGGTGCTTTTTTCGTTTCCTGCCATTGCCTACACTACGCGAACGTAAGCTTGCTGGTGACGCCAACTCAGACTCGAGAGGGTTTTAACTTGACTGCCCTTGACTACCCGCACACGATTTAGTGGAATGGTATAAATCTGTATTATGTTGGACTTATTTAGGCTAACCTTCGCATTCCATGAGCTCGGAACAAATCGTGGAACATATCTTCTAGTGTCGTTTGCCTCTAGCTATTAGTCCATGTATGTATCAATGAAATCACAGCAGAAGTTGCCCTCTGAGTGATCTCTCCACTTCCCCTTCCCAAAACTTTATTTTAAAGTTGGTACATTGCACTGCCCATCCTACCGACAGAAATATTCTACACAATGCCTCAGCGAGAGAGTCAGTTTCGTTTGTCTAACACCTCCCATCCTTCGCAAAACAACTAGAGAGAAATTTCCTCCCATCGGAACACTAGCTTGTGTAGCAGGGACAGACGACCGACCACTCAAAGATATGTATGATCTTCACAGGAGATTCCAAGCACCATTCCAAATCACTCAGCCAGACGATTGCAGAAGAGATCATCACAGGTGTGAGGACGTGAAACGGAGTCTGAAGATGATGCCTCCGAATACGAGGACCCATCACAAAGAGCTTCACAGATTGATTTACAGGTTCATGGTGAAATGTATTTGACAAAAAACGGGAGAGTTAATGCCCAACAACTTATGAGGCCATCACTCTCAAGCCTACCACCCCAGGTTTCTCGATTTCAGCAATTATCGTCGAGGGATACGTTACCATCAGCCACATGAAATAGAGAATTTGACATGAACCAGCTGTATGATACTTTTTATGCCCCCCCTGTGCGTGGTGATAGGTCTCCTACCCATCGAAATGCCCTAACTAGTCTAACATATACTCACTCCGGTAATCAAGATTCTGAGTTTATTAGAACATCGTCGGAGAGATCCCGCCCCGAAGCCCGTCGTCAACTTTCTGAACTTTCTAGAGCGGCTTCGATATGAGCCCCTTCCGAAGTCGTCAGTAGTACAGATTATGCTAGTGGCAGTGGCGGTGGGTATTCTGGAGAGTGGTCATCACAAATTCACTAGCGCCAGTAGACCCTACCGATCCCAACAAAATCAGTGCTTTCCGACATTATAGATTAGTGCAATTGGACATTGAGCTGAGGACTCTAATCGAAATGCTGGGTGGTATCTCATCAACGAGACACTATTCAAAAACCCCATACCCTTGGTGTTGGAATTGGCATCTATGTTTAGAAATTCATGGGA